AGCTCGATCAGCACAAACTTGGCTCAGTTAGTAATCAATTATAAGAAAGATTAGGACAATGGCTTTTCTGAACTTTATCGCACAGTTTCTGAATTTTTAGAATTCTTGCTTAAAAATTCCGACTTTCGGATGACGCCGTTCTTTCATTTTTATCTCTGCAACCTGAACATGTTGGAAAGTTCGCAGGGGAGCGTTAGAAACTACATGCTTTACGCTTTCAAATAAAATTTGAATAGCGCAAAATCGTCGTGAAGGAAAGAATTTATGATTTTTTGAAAATCGTGCGACAGAACTTTCGGTTCAACCTAATATTACCAAGTAGACGTAGTAAGAGCAAGAAATGTGATTAAGAACATTAGCATCTACAAAAACTCAAAAAAATCACTTCCAAACTTTTAATCATTCAAGGAAGTTTTTTCACTTAGTCACTTGGTGAAAAAAACGCTGTTCTAATTTTTTTTGTAGGATTCTGAGACTTTTTCAGCTGAAAGTATGCCAATTCTATTTTTGAGGAAAAGATGCTACCGCAAATGTGATAACAATATTATTATCTCTATATCTGACATTTCCAACCTTGGAGCAATGTAAATCAAAGGATATAAGATTTCAACTCGTTGCGCTTTTTTTTTTACTACCATCTAAATCACAAGTAAAGGACCGAAAATTTTGGTTTTTTTTAAAATGAGAATTTGATGATATATCACTACTTATAAGTATAGCTTAAAGAGTATGATTGTCAGAAACAGAGGATGTTAGATAGATAACTCAGATCATGTTGATTTTTTTTCTGTACTCCAAAGTGTGAACTAATTTAAAAATTTCAAGTCCAAGCGTCTAAAAATCAATGCATATGGCAGAGTATTCGACAGAATTGATCGCAATTATAAACAAGATCCGCTGTTTTGGCATTTGCATATGTTAGAACGCAGTTTTGGGTACAACGTGTAAGCGCGTCATTGTAACTATAGATTCGAAGGACAAAGACTACTGGATTTTTTTTCCAAGGCAGCAATGATTTTTATCTTATTTTTGATACATGGTGACTGTTCCTCAAAATCGAGGCTATCAATCTACTTGAATAACTTGAAAAAGACGATGAGTATCAGCTCTTGAATTTAAATGACATGAGATCTGATCTATGCATGATCGATTTGGGCGTGATCAGTTATCAACATTGTGGAACTATTGGCAACCGTAGAAAATCTAACTCAGAAGTTGCGTAATTCCTCTCATGCCTTTTTAAACGGCGGCTGCGATGTGCGATCAAATATACACTACTAGTCTCCGGATTGACTTGTAGGAGGCACGCGCCGAGACCGATGGTTGATGCATCGGTGTGGATGATATAGGGTTTTCCTAGAATAGGAAGCACTAAAACAAGCGCATCCACTAGGGCATGTTTTAATGCTTGGAATGCTATTTCTTACCCCTTGCTCCAAAGAAACGCTGCATCTTTTCTAAGAAGTTTGTTCAATGAATGGGAAATTGTAGCTAAACGCGGTAAATCTTCAAAAGTACGATCCTGCACTAATAATGATTTGAGTACTATTGTTATCTGTGAGGCGCGGAACATTACTAGAGCTGGCAAACCTTTTTTTTAAAGCTTTCATGCGTGTACATTCTTGCTAAATAGTACATTATAATCTCTAAATGTTTGAAAAAGTATAAACTTTGCATGTTTTGTTATTCGACAGCATAAAGTAAATGTTACGATAATATAAGTTGCGTAAGACATACGGCAGCGGCATATCGGGCGCAACTGTTGTTGTTGGCAGTATAATTTGCATAAGAACAGACGCTAAGGGGTCATACCGTGCAACTGTTGTTACTGGCCGTATATCATAATCGTAAGAGGATAGGTTACGCAATTTTTAATCCTGTTCCAAGGCTTATCGCGACACAAAGCAGACGCGAGCTTGCGCGTTCGGGCTGAGAGGTCATTCGCTCAAATAAAAATATTTGTCGCGGGTCACATGCTTACAACTTACGAGGGCCGTCGCGTTGCTTTTTAGCCAAAAGGGGGTCACCGCGCGCGGACAGTAGCACTGGGTTTTGCTAAATTGCCTGAGAGTTCGAAGCATTACGATTGGTCGACACTTCCCAGCAGAAGTTATCTGCAGTGGGCCAGCAGATTTATCTTTCTGGGTCTAATACTGCAGATTTGAATTTTAAGCTAGCGATCGCGAACAAGTCCATTGTCTAATTATTTAAAAAAAAGGAAAAAAAATGAGAAAGTTAACAAAAATTCACGGAATCACGGTTTCACGGATTCACGGATCACGCACGGATTCACGGATCACGGATCACGGCATCACGGATCACGGCTGCTAAATGCGCTTTTTAAATTCACGGATTCACGGATTCACGGAATCACGGATCACGGAAAATGCGAGCGCTTTACGAAAGAAAGAAATTGACAAAATGGGACTGTTCGCAGGACTGTATAAATAATTTTTATTTTATTTTATTTAATAATTTTTTTTTCTTTCTGAAAAGATTAAATATTTGACTCACACAGAGATTAGATATTTCACTCACACAGCTAATATATTTGTGCAACATAAAAAAAAACACTCACACACAATTGTTCGTTGGACATCCATAGCGATCGATCGAATTGTAGAGGGGGAGGGAGGGGGAGGGGATAAATTTTTTTTTTGAAACCCATATCAAAAGTGAAGGTGAGAAAAAAATCCTAGAATTCTTAAAAAAAAAGAAATCTTCCCTAGGACCTCCATGTCAAGTCTAGGGGTGTACGGGCCCTAGCTTGATGTGTAGCGGTACAGGTTGGTATTATATATATTTATTATCTACATATATTACAAGAAAGGGGAAGGGGGAAGACTGACTAGGCAGCCTTACGGGACGCGGTCGTAGGGGGTCACTGGCTCCTATCTGACCTTCTCGGCCAGCTCACGGGAGAGCAGCAGGCGGAGCTTAGCTGCGTCCCGACACTGCGTTCTGTGAATGAGTTGAGAATATGATATAAGGGCGCCGCTCTTTTAAGTTCAAAAAATCCGGAAAGTCTATTTACTCTCAGAGAATGTTTGAAAATTTGGGCTGAGTATGCCTCAATATGCGTTTTTTCATATAAAAAGTAATAAAAGCGATGTGTATGGAGCAAACGTACTCGTTTAAGGTTTTATGAGACTATTAAAACGTGTTGTTACGCCCCACTTTCCCCTTACCTTCCCCATAAACGCCCATGTAAATTATTAGGTTGGCACGAAAGTTCTTGCGTAATTCAAACAAAATTCAATGACTTTTCAAAGACTGAACCTAAATTCACAACCTTGTATGCTAAAAATATTAGAAGTCTTACGCTTCATGATGGATGTTGAAGCGTAAGATTCCGTGAGCTGGACATCAAGAACGAAGCTCTCGAATATGGCGCTTCAAATTTTGCGATGAGTTTAGTGCCAGAAAATCGCAGAGTGCCGCTAGCTAGCCGAAAAAAATCTGTAGAATTTACTTACACAGCTAAAGTCCATACGTTGTTTTAGCAGGCTTTGATCTCGCATGGAAACGCGAAAATAAAAAATTTGTGAAAATTCTCATTTCACAGGACAAATCCCCTTATCGCTCTAACTTTTCCACAGAAACACAGCTTGCAACCAGAAATTAGAAATAGTGCCTATTTAGAGCCTTGTGACGTTTTCTCGATTGTAAAAAAGTGTTTTCGCCGGAAAACTGCGGACATGAGGGGATTTTTTCCGCAACATGACTTATTTCACGAATTTTTTGTTTTTGCTTCACCGTGCAAGATCAAAGCCTTCCAAAGTAACATATGGATTTTTGTTGTGCAAGTAAATTCTACAGATTTTTTTCGGCTAGCTAGCGGCACTCTGCGATTTTCTGGCACCAAACTCAAAATCGCAAAATTTGAAGCCCCATATTCGAGAGCTTTGTTCTTGATGTCCAGCTCACGGAATCTTATGCTTAAACATCCATCATGAAGCGTAAGACTTCTAATATTTTTAGCATACAAGATTGTGAATTTAGGTTTAGTCTTTGAGAGGTTATTGAATTTTGTTTGAATTACGCAAGAACTTTCGTGCCAACCTAATATGTTTTTTACATCTTCCACATGCATGGCGCTGAATGCCAATTTTCCGTAAAGAATTTTACACGGAAGAAGTGAAGTTAATTGTATGAGCTATTAACAAGCCCATTCATACGTTGTTTTGGCGATTGCCATTCCATACGATCCCCTACCCGTGACTTGAATGTGAAGTTAGTGAGAATGACTCACACGCGTTGTTCTTTGGATTCTTATTGGTATTCAGTCTGCTTTCTGCGCACAAATTCTGCATGACATAGTTATTTTCATGAATAAAGAGGGACATATCCGTGAAGGCAAGGTCTAGGCAAATCAGGGTGCTTGGACATCTTATGTGGATACTGACTGGGAAAGATTAGCTACAAGCGGCAACTCATAATATTCATTCGTGGTCAGATACTCAAATCTAAACTTTCTCCCAGTCCGTACTTTTCTCGAGTGCACCGAATAATGACTCCTTGATTACGGTCTGGGCGAGAGTTCAGACTTGAATCTTGGCCACAAACGAACCAAATGAACTGCTGTTTGATCAGCGACTTAGTCAGGACTTCCCAGTCAGTCTCTCTTAAAATACCCAGGTAAAAGATCCGTCTGAAAACTTTCTTTTGATACAGTTTCGTTATCTTAGTTAATCCCATCCAAACAGACTGAATTTTTTTTCAAAATAAAAACCGGCTGTACGGAGCTGGCGTGGCCATCTCAATAATCTAGATGAAATCTGAGATTGCGATGGAATTTTCGACCTTGAGTTTTGCTTAACCTATTGCGTCTAATGGTGTTTATGTTGGTTAGCAAGATTTTAGATCCAAGAATCACCATCAATATCATGTCTTCATAAAACTCGTGTTCTTAAAGTTTTTTTTCAGCTGGGGTAGCTCTGCGCATCTTAAAATTGCAGCTTTGCATTCAATTATAGAAGAGTACTGTATTATTATTTTAGGCCCTTCTGTGGGCCGTAAGTCGTCGTTGGCCGGGCATGGTTCTGCGTCATCGTCTGGCCATACGAGTCCATCAGGTACGGCCCTTCCTCACTTTTTAATACTTTTTCATTTGGTTTATATATTTTGTTTACATACCTTTTGATTAATCAATTATTTTAAAGAGTCGCCAGCACGTTCCGTGACCGGTGGTTCATCGTGTGGTGAAAGTGAGCGTTCATTGACCACACCTCCACTTCCGCCAGCGCTCAAGCATAATCCATCAACTAGTGGAGGACGTAAGGTTGGTTGACCTTGTAGAGCGTTTCATTTCTGACTTTAGCGAAAAGTTTTTACGACTTTTCTTTTCCCATTGGGATTTGTTTGTAGTTTCTCTTGGTAATTGCTAGTCATATTGTGAAAATTTTGGTTGTAATCCGTCGTACTCTTGCACCTTTGCGCTTGAGTCTTATCTTAATTGAGATCTCTTGCCCCGAACTACAAATGTGGTTCATCTCAGTGTTTTCAAGGTTTCATCAGGGTTTGACCCTTTGTGGCGGCGTTGAACTTCTAGAATGCCCTTTTTGGTATTGAATATATATCCATTATGCATGAGTAAATCGTTCCTTGACTAATATAGCTTGCAGGCTACGAAAAGAGTTAGTCCTGCAACAATTCTATAATTTGTATCTTGCGTCTGTTTAGTGCAATCGAATTAGTCAATCTATGAGAGAAAAATTTGTCTCGACGTCTCGAATACAATTTTTTTGGCTTTCATACTGTTTGTAAGTCCTTGCAATGGATTCTCGAAATACGTCACCTTAGCTAATTTTTTCGTCTTGTTTATCGAGAAATGGGCGTGTCCCAAAAAATGTGTAAATTAAGAAGTTATACAGAAAAATTATGACTCTTTTATATGTGACTTTGCGTATGAAGCTTTGTTTTGAGTTTACCAGTCATTTGTTTGAGCAGATGCTTCCACCCCCCCCCCCCCTTCGTCTCCATATCATTTTCCCCATTCCATACATGCTCCAATTGTGTTTTTGTGTATTACCCGTCTCGAACCAGTTATGGATGCAAATCGTGAGAATGCAACCATCACTAACATATTTTCGATCCCCTCTCCGAGTTTGTTTCCACCTAATTTCCTCGTTTGTTGATGGTAGCTTGCAGAACTCAGTCACATTACTGGGATAAGCTATGGATAAGCTTATATGCAATATCAGTGAGAGTAGCTCCAGGGGCAAAGGGAATGAAAGATTATGGTTATACTCAAGCGGAGGTTGTTTCTTGTGGTGTATCTCTGACGTTTTTCTCTGTCCATTTAAAAATTTCGTTCGTGTCATTTGAAGGTTGTGTCCGACAAAATCAAACCGACAAAATGAGTTTCTTATGTGGATACTGATTGTAAGGCCTGGACTAAGCCATTATCCAAGCCGCGGTTCAAATGATTCATTCGTGGTGAGATAACTCAACTCGAAACTCTTGCCCAGTACCGTAATCGAATTTAGGGATACGATACTGGGCATGAGTTTAGCAACGAATTTTTCGGCCTTGAATAGATCACATAAGTTGCCCTACGGGGGGGGGGGGTTGATTTGGTTAAGACCTCCTAATCAGTTTTCACATGGGAAATGCAAGTACCGAGATTCAGAGTCATGCGTACGGGGGGGGGGGTTGATTTGGTTAAGACCTCCTAATCAGTTTTCACATGGGAAATGCAAGTACCGAGATTCAGAGTCATGCGTACTTTTGGGCTGAAATTCGTGTGATTGGTCAGGATAATGTCATTCCGAACATTTTTTCACCACAAATTTTTAGGGATTGAATTATTCACCGAACTTCCTCCATTGCAGTAGGGTACATGACGTTGATAAAATTGACAAAAAGCCAAAATCGACCGGGAAGTCTGGTGTCTAATAAGTCTGCTTGTCTCTGTCAGTGTCAAAACTTCCGACGGCTCCTGTCCAATGATTTTGCCTTTTCGCTCTTTAAATTGAAGAGGTAGTTCTTGAATCGTTTTTATTTTCAAAATTTGGTGGTTTCTCGGTGTCATAGGAGAAGTAAACAGACGACTAATTAACATTTTGACTTCCTATATGCTCCAGACAACTGCATCATTTTTCACTAACTATGCTTTTAGTATTCAATACCCTATTGTTTTCCTCAATTTTTGTTGCTCATCATCCTGAACGCCAGACATTCAGCCCTCTGGCACGACCTCAACAGTTGAGAGAGGTTTTTGCCGTGGGATGGCTGGCTGAAAAATCCCTTGTCTTCAGTCCCGATCGATGCTCATATTCTTAGCGGATTACTTGCCAGCTGATAAATTTCCATCAGTTTTTCCTAATTTATTGGATGCTACTAGCAAAGCCAATACTGGCTTGTCGCCTTGACAACATAGCAGCTATTAATATATAATGTCATGTTTATGACATACGTTTGTTGTTCTTTGGCTCAATTGCCATTTGTAATCGTTTAGTGTAATAGGTTACTAGTTTAAGTTCTCTCCCGCGCATATTAGCACTATTACTATTACGGTAATCATTGCAGAAATCTCAGTTTTTCCTCTATTGCCCATCAAGATTGCTATTTCTTAGTTAGGAATCAATTAAGCTCAATTAGAGTGCAGGGTTTTGCCCAAAATAAGAAAATGATTACATAGAGAAGCAGGATTTTTTTATCTACCGTAGGCTAATTTTTTTTCTTATTCAATCTCAAACTTGTCAAAATCGCCGGATCTAGTTTTTGTGCATAATAGCTGTGGACGAGTTTTTTCATCTTTTTTTGTGAGAAAAAATCCCAACGGAAACTGGAAGGAGGAAAATCCCACGCAAATTTTGTCGATTGAGGAAATTGTCGGAACAGATGTATTTTGCAAGAATGTTGAGTTGAGTTGTACTTTTCATATGATATGCGTTCTTGGATTGTAATAATTTCGTAAAATAAAAAAGAAATTTTTACAACACTTATCTAGTTTGTATGATTTTCCATTTATTGAAGTATATAAGACGTGGGTAGGAGGTGAAGTTGCAAACTGTTGCTAATTTATTGGTTAAAATAGTAAAACCAAGTTAGGAAGTGAAATGTATGGATTTAGTGAATTTGTGTACTGAATTTACTCTATTGGAAGTTTTCTAAGGTTTAAAAAAATATAATTTCTCTCCTCGGCTTGTTTCCATGTGGTATAGAGATTTTCCTATGTCTTACTACCTTCTCAGTATCATTAGTAATTCAAATGCAGACAATTTACCAAAAAATGTCAGTTTGCTTCAACTGCAAGGTAATTTTTGTGGACTATGATTAACTTGAAACAAATTATTTACAAAACCGCGCCTGGAAAAAAGTCTATGTTAACAAACATTTTCTGATTTCCTATTTTCGAACATACATAGTCTTTTTCTTACCAGTATAATTGACGTAAATTGCTTGAATTGGTGCACTCGGTTTCTGTTTATGCCTGACCGGTTTTTCCTTCTTTTCGGTTACCCACTGGCAATTATCTAGACAGCCATGGCGGCTTTTCGTTTTCGTTCAACTCAAGCTGCCGGCTGAGGTGGTATTGCGCTAGAAACTTGTCTTCTAGCACACACTCTTGATGTTTTGTTTAGTCGTGAGCTCAGCATACAACGGAGTTGACGCTGTTCACGCTTTTAGGAACAATCCGGTTATCGTGGTCAACGCTCAATGTCGCTCGGCGGTCCTGCACATGAATCGCTAATGTCACAATTGGCAGCTCGACAAAGTACAACCACTACGACTATAGATCTATCACCTGGTGAAAGTGAGTTTTTCACGGATTTCAGCTCTTGCACTTTGAATGTTTTGACACTCCTCGCTTTCGTGCTTTGACTTTTCGAAATGTCGCGTTTTTTATTTCTGCCTTTATCTGAGACACGATACGAATTGAATTTTTTTTTTGGACTTCGAATTAGTGAACTATGAAATATGTTGTTATTTTTGTGAAAAAGACACATCAACGCCTCATCAAATTCTTTCTTTCCGTATTATTTTTGCCAGGATATATATAAGGCATATCTTGTATTCCATAGCCTTTGGAATGAGTGTCATTTCCTGGTGAATTATGCGAATTTATTTTAATTTGTGATTATTTTATGATCTAGTGAACACTCTCATTTTCTTTAATTCTTGTTTATTTACAGTTCACACATACATATTCAAATGACCTAGTCAAATTGACTGAATTTAGTGTGCTCGCGCGTCAACGGTTACCAGTGCGCTCTATATGATTTACAAGTACAGCGTTTGTTTCCGCGCAAATGCTGTCGTGACCGCAGGGGAACTACTACTATAACTGTCTAATCTGCTAGCCTACACCTACTATAGTTCTCCTCATTACTTTTTTTTTCAGAGCAACAGAACAAAGTATGCCTGGCATGCGACGATATGCGTTTCTTGATAGATCAAAAGCTGCTCACAGCACATCCAGACACTATGCTTGGCAGAATGTTTGCGATGCGCGATGCCAGAGGCGCTGGAGCCGAAATGGTCACGCCAAATGAGAGGAATGAGTTTGTGGTAGGTTATGCTTTTCTGAAATTTTTTGACTTTCGCTGTTTTTACGAGAAAAATCGCTATCTTGTTTTTTTAACAATTTTCAATTATATTGACGGATGATTGAGGCAATTATTATTTGTTTTTGCAATTAATCCATCGTTAGTGAGAGTTGAGCATTGACAATAGATTTTTTCTTATCTTTTTTGTGTTAATCCTTTTGTTTGATATCTCACATGTTTATTGTTCAGGTTGCTGATGGAACCACGGCAGCTTGTTTCCGTGTGGTCCTAGAATATTATCTACATGGCCAAATGCGCTGTCCACCGACGATTTCAGTGGCTGAGCTTCGTGATGCTTGTGACTATTTGCTGATACCGTTCAATGCTAGTACTGTTAAGTAAGTTCTCAGCTGTATTCCTTTTTTCACTTGCTCCGCCTACCATGTTATTGTACTTGATTTAATGATTTTATTCTTTGCATTTTGCTTATTTTTCTTCGCTTTGTGAGAACATCTCGTAATGGTCATTGTTTATAGATGCCAAAATCTGCATGCTTTACTTCATGAATTGTCAAATGAAGGTGCCAGAGAGCAATTTTCCAATTTCCTCGAAGAAATAATTCTCCCACAACTCGTTGCCAGCACTGAGGTAAGTGCGATATTTTGTTGTTTTCTAAATCGCTCATGCAAAGATTTGTAACAACTGTATAAACATAATTTTAGCATGGCGAAAGAGAATGCCATATCGTGGTGCTACTTGATGAAGACGTTGTCGATTGGGATGACGAATATCCACCTCAAATGGGCGAGGAAACCACACATGTTGTTTATAGCACACATTTATATAAGTTCTTCAAATATGCTGAGAATCGTGATTGCGCGAAGCAGGTAATGAATTTTTATTTGAACTGAGACAAATTTTCTCGCTTTTTTGCGTTACTTTTTGTTATGTTAGTTTCCAGCAGATAAAACAGGCATTGTTCAGGTATTAAAATCACGGGGTCTGAAGAAAATTCGCCTTGGCATGGAGGGATATCCAACGCATAAGGAGAAAGTGAAGAAGCGGTTTAACAAGGCTGAAGGTGAGCAAATGGCTACATCTTTTTTTTTTCATTTCTTCCCTTATAATTTGGAAAAGCGGAACCGTTTTTTCGTGATTCTCCAGATTTTTTAAAACTTTTTCAGTCGTTTCATCAGTTCACTGTACTTCGTTTCATGTTTTATTGAAAATTTCTGATGACGGATGAACAAAAACATCATTTGATTAATTGATTAGCAGCAACAAAAACAACAAATAGTCTTTATAGTGATTTACAACTATGTCCAACGACCGTTTGTTCATTGTTCATGGGAGAAAGAAGAAGCGCGGAGTCGACATGTCGATTTTGCTTGCCCAATAGTGAAGGTATCCATCTGTTCGTGATTCCAATTCTTTTTGCAACTTCATACTTTTTCTCGCACTTTGTTTTTTGAAGTCGAAGTCGAATCCGAGCCTTGCCGCCGCTGCATCGGATCCACTGCCACAACCTGCTCCTTTACATCAACAACGCGATCACAACTTGCTAGGGGTAAATATTCATCAAAATCAGGTAAATTCTTGTAGTTCTCGAAGTTATTGATTTTATCGATCAGTTGCAAATTTGTAATTACATTCATATTTTAATCTCTTTAGCACGTACAACCACTTCATTCGCCTCCCGTAAATTTTCATCGAGATCGAGGCGAACTCGACGGAAGAGACGATGAGTGATGGACGAGTTCTGCTGCCTAATGTCGCTTCAAGTGTACGAGTTGTGGCGAAGTTTACACTGCTTGATGTATTAAATTGCACCATGAACACTTTTCTAAAAGCCTTCTTATAAACCACAATCCAATCGCTCTTCATCTTCGTCGATAACACTGAACGGCTGTCAGTGGGAGTGGGACACCTCCGCCCACCTGCAACAAACTCTGCCCACCTGCGACAACTCGTCCAGTGCTGAGCGTACAATCTGCTTGCTCCTTTTATAAAATCCATATCTTGTTATGGAATCTGTAAACTCTATGACAACCCACCAATTCGCCTAAATCCGTGCATGTGCTTTGTGTATATATGAATGTTGGCCTTGTATCTGTCGATTATTGATTTTTGCTTTGTCACAATTGTCTGTTATAAGAGTTTTAACTAAGAATCCCAATATCAACTTTTCTTCCGCTTCTCCAATAACATTAGCGATCGATCAGTATTGTTTCAGTCTTCTCTATAAAACGCCGGCTTATTTTTACAAATGTGCAGAAGATTTCCCCATATTGGGTAGGTGTGCTCCAGACACACCAATTGGAATATCGTCATTGTAGGAATTTGGTAGCTACAACACTCTGCCACCAATCAATCTTTCACGGTATTTCGCTGTTTTGTGTGTGTGATTTTGCGTCTGGGTTACATCCTTGGAATGACGTGCTGTCCGCCTTCCATCCACTGGTTATTGCATTATTACGTCACATATTCTATCATTGCTCTGTAACTATATTATCCTACTGACTACACATAATAAATATGATATTCTGCTTTGATCTTGATGAAGTGTTTGGAGAATGCGTGATCTCTTTACTGCGTTAAATATTTAGAGGCAGAGGATTGCAGAATGGACCTTTCTCGGATTTTGTTGGGTTTAGGTAGTAGACTTCCCCCCCCTTCCTCCCCCCCCCCCCAGCCCCCAAGTACCCTGTAGCCCAAACCCCACCTGCCAATTTCATGCACTAAGTCCTGAAAAATGCGCTTCTAAACTCCGCCAGGCCCGCCCACTCAGTGGAAATGGGCGGGGCTGGTGGATTTTGAAGAGCATTTTTCAGGACACTTAGCGCATGAATTGGCAGTGGGGTTTGAGCTACCGTGTACTTGGGAGGTCTACTACCTAATCCACAAAAATTTGGGAAGGGTCCATTCTGCTGTTCCAATGCCTTTAATAAAAATCGGAAGCAGCAGAAATTTTTTTTGCAGTAAGATAGGAGGGGGTTGATATATGGAAGCGACAGCTTCAGATCTTCAGTTCAAAATTTTCTTAAGTCTAAAGCCCTGCCTCGAGCCTCTTCGGCAGCAAAATCAGTTGATAACGTGGATCAAAGGGTCCTGACGTGATAGTGGCACGTAGGAATGGGCGTGGCTTGCTTGCACTCCCATGTAGTGTAGCCTTCCGCGTGTCTGAAGGTTTAGATGAATTCTTTCGAATAAAGACGCAGTTTTTAAAACTCGCATTCTGTAAATAATTAGATAAATGAATGAATATCAATGCAAGCTTATAATCCTGAAATTTTATTAGGTTAGAGACGTTAACCATGACCATAGAACTTCAAGAGTTTTAAATCTTATATATAAAGCTGAATGTTTGTTTGTCTGTATGTATGTATGTATGTATGTCTGTGTGTACGTATGTTCCGAATAGAAAATTCCATTTCTGAACCGATCCGGACCAAACTTGGCACACATACACTTCGGGCTCCGGCGGGTGTCACAGTCCACTTTTCGTTATCGATCGATGTCGATTTTACCGATTTTTATCGATTTTTTTGCTGAGTTCACCTACGGGGCTGGGAGTTGGCACAGGGGGGTAATCGAGCATGGGGATTCCGAATACAATATTGGTTTTCGGGATTATCGATTACTTTTATCGATTTTATCGATTTTTTTGCAAAGTTTGAGCTAGGGGGCTGGGAGTTGGCACAGGGGGGTAATCGAGCATGCTGATCATCCCCAAGGGGGGGGTGATCAGCATGCTCGATTACACCCCTGTGCCAAATTCCAGCCCCCTAGCTCAAATTTTCAAAAAATCGATAAAATCGATAAAAGTAATGGACGATCTTGAAAACTAATATTGTATTCGGAATCCCCATGCTCACTTCCCCCTGTGCCAACTCCTAGCCCTGTAAGTGAACTCTGCAAAAAAATCGATAAAAATCGGTAAAATCGACATCGATCGATAACGAAAAGTGGACTGTGACACCCGCCGGGGCCCGAAGTGTATGTGTGCCAAGTTTGGTCCGGATACGGCGGAGCCGGGTAAGCCAGCTAGTAAAGATATAAGAACAATGATTCCTTGCCACTTTTGCTTAGCTTGCGAACCTCGGGAATCACAATCAAAATTAGGCTCCGCCCATTGCCACGCCTCTTTTCGTCTTGCACACTTTTCCAGCCACATTCGTCTCTGCAGTAAATATCTTTCAATGCTGCTTATCGGATAGTCTGCCGAATCTAAAATTAGATCTAATCCGCCTCTGTGACATAGGCGGGCACGAGTTACGCGGTTACGCAAGGAATCAAGTTAATTGCATGTCTCCATTACAAGCATGACCTAAATATAGCACAGGCGCTGTAAATACGACCTTTCATCCGCATCGAGTCTCTTTCATATAGCAGAGTGCAGGAAGGCCCTATGTAGATGCGCACAACGCACGGTAATTGCATTTGAAAGGGGATGCTCTGGGTATCATTCATAAGTGCAGCTGAACTCGGCTGGGCCGCTGCTGCTAATGTCGGGGTTGCTACTGTTTGCAAAGGGACAGGGTTAAACGAATCTACGGGGCAAGGCTATTTTTTTTTTGGAGAGTTGATAGTGTATGTTCATTTAAAGTTGATGTTCCCTCGAATTTAACGAGTGGCAGGACGCCAATTTCACCTGAACTCCAGAGAAAGAGTCAGTGAGAGTATACATAGTGCAATAAGGAAATTATGCTCAAAAAGTGACTATATATACTGCGATATGACACGCAAGGACTGGGCGCCGTCGCGTCCGACCAAGATAGTTCGTGGATGGGAGAGACAACAGATGGTAAGAGAAACGAAAAAGCGCTCATGGGAGACGCCGATACGTCCGCAGTCCTTGCGTACGATGAGCCTATAACTGCACAAAATTACAAATTACTGTTCCTCGAAAAGATGAAATAGATTCAAAATGGAAAAAGTCGAAAGATTTTGAATAGTACTCGGAAATTACAAATTGCGGTATACGAAGTTCACGAAAACTAGGGAAAAGTTTCCGATCGAGGAATTTCGACTGCTGTACTGATTTAACCACATAGACACCCTGCTGTATTAGTTCGTTCCTAAATTTTCTCCATTTTTCTTTCGATATGTATAAAAATTCGTGAATAAAAATGGGCAAATAATTCAAGAACTATCCATTCAGTGCGATTCTTCCTCCTCTTTTCAGCGGTTAGGGCTATAGTCTTCATGGAATAGAATATTATGTTGTCCGGAAATTAATGCAGGTTTTGAATTTCAACCGCAATAAGTCATATACTTCTCATTTCTAAATAGGTTGCAAGGTACCATTCGATAGAGCAAAGCAAGCTCTACAAGATGACAATTTTGCTTTAGCAACAGCTCTGATCTACCACGAGTTTTGAGCCAGAAATGAAAAGATATAACTGCCCGAAAAATTGAGAAAATTTGTAACTCAGTTCTTAATAATCCTGCAAAATTCTAACTTGCTCACGTAAATCCAATCCACATAAGACATCCATATACGCCGTTGCCGTATTTTTTTCTCTGTTGGAAATCAAGAAAACGGAAATTTTCATGCATTTGCCAAAGTGGTGCTGTGCCGCCCCCACATAAGTAGTTGCATACTACAAACCTGTAGAAGTACAAACGTAAATTTTCAGCTCTCTACAAGCTTTAGTTCTCAAGAAATATCGAATACAGCCTTCATTAGTTAGGTGGTCCAAGCTAAAATTCAGATTTCTCGAGAACTAAAGCTTGTAAAGAGCTGAAAATTTGTATTTTTACTTCTACAGGTTTGTAGTATACAATTACTTATGTGGGGGCGGCACAGCACCACTTTGGCAAATGCATGAAAATTTCCGTTTTCTTGATTTCTAACAGAGCAAAAAATATGGCAACGGCGTATATGGATGTCTTATGTGAATTGGGTTTACGTGAGCAAGTTAGAATTTTTGCAGGATTATTAAGAACTGAGTTACGATTTCAATATTTTTCTTTTGCCGTACAGGTTGTTATCGGTGACAGTTTATTGCCTAACGTTTCGGCACAACGCCGTCGTCGGAGGCTAAAAGTATTCAGTCACGTTGATTTACGATCTTGGTCGCCAAACATCTCCTCCCGCTCGAGCATTCGAATGGTCTTGAGTGGAAGCAGGGAGTCTGCGAGTAGAGGACGACTCACCAGAGTTGTCACCGTTTGTAGCAGTATCAGTTGGTTCTGATGTGCTTCAACGAACTGCGATGTTGAGAGTATGCAGTCGTGATGTCAACTGACTGCTGTGTCGCGAATGAGCAGTCGTGATGTCAACGGACTGCTTAAATAGGGTAGACGATCTTATAGTTTGCAATATGTCAGATACGCATCAGATCTCCAGTTTTAGATAATTGTTCATTCTTGTTGTTGATCTGGGGGTCGTGGACAAGAATGTAGGATGCCTCAAGGGCCTTTCTCGCGGATATTTGATTTTCGTAGGCCAAGATTATGCACTTGATGTCGAAGTCATTACCGTTATGATCTACCTTTCTATGCTTTCCTAGCGGATTCATTACGCTTTGCCGCTTTTTACTAGCCAAATGCTCGTTTACGCGCACGCACAATGGCCTACCCGTCTCACCAATGTAGATGGCAGAGCATGCTAAACATTCTATTTGATACACGACGCCAGATTTAGTCAGTTGACATCACGACTGCATACTCTCAACATCGCAGTTCGTTGAAGCACATCAGAACCAACTGATACTGCTACAAACGGTGACAACTCTGGTGAGTCGTCCTCTACTCGCAGACTCCCTGCTTCCACTCAAGATCATTCGAATGCTCGAGCGGGAGGAGATGTTTGGCGACCAAGATCGTAAATTAACGTGACTGAATACTTTTAGCCTCCGACGACGGCGTTGTGCCGAAACGTTAGGCAATAAACTGTCACCGATAACAACCTGTACGGCAAAAGAAAAATATTGAAATCAATACCATAGAATGCCCAGGTTTCAAGACAAGAGGACGTTTGACATATTGAGTTACGATTTTTCTCAATTTTCCAGGCAGTTGAATCTTTTCAGTTTCTGGCTCGAAACTCGTGGTGGATCAGAGCTGTTGCTAAAGCAGGACTGCCATCTTGTAGAGCTTGCTTTGCTCTATCGAATGGTACCTTGCAACCTATTTAGAGATGAGAAGTGTATGACTTATTGCGATTGAAATTCAAAACCTGCATTAATTTCCGGACAACCTAATAGAATAATCCTAAAATAATCGCCGAAATTTCGAGCCCATAATTTCTATCATGACCAAGTTTGGCAATTTTTCAAATTTTTCGTACCGGACTTCTGGCAGAGTTTTGATGACAGTTGGATAGTCTAAAGAAAGGCAATGCATCAATTTTCTGGCATCCCTAAGGCTTTCCAAAATTTTTCACGAAAGAAATAGTCGTAATTGTAAATTTCAAACGCGCCAATGAGATGCATTTAGATTTTTTAAGATTCTCCATCTCGAAGCATTGAACACTTAGTTGCCTTGTACAATTATCGTTGAACGATAATCTATTTTCGGAGCTTTTAAATTCGATTCCGCAG